TGGCATTCATCAACATCTGAGCACGTTGTATTGTCATTTAACAGTTCGAATCCCTCCTTGCAGCTACACTCGTAAGATCCGTTTAAGTTGCGGCAGAAATGCATACATTGATATGACTGTTCACTGCATTCATCAAAATCCACACAGGAATAATTATCCTGTTGCAGAACGTACCCATTTTTGCAGGAACACTCGTACGAACCCTTATTATTTGTACAGATGTGCTCACACAGAGGCGTGTTCGTCATACACTCGTTAATATCATTGCAAGATGTATTATCATCACTTAGAATAAATCCAGAAAAGCAATCGCAGTTATATGAAGAATTTAAATTGACACACATGTGTTGACAGTGCCCGTTGTGGTTATTGCATTCATTGACATCAAGACAGCGTTTCCCGTCTGTGTCAAGGACGTAGCCATGGTGACACGTACAGAGGAAGCTTCCGGAAGTGTTGTTACACGAATGTTCGCATATGCTGACAGAAGTTGAACATTCATCAACATCCTCACAAGTGGACCCGTCTACTGATTGTCTGTAACCCACATTACAACCACACTCGTAGCTTCCAACTGTATTTACACAAGCATATGGTGAATTTCGACTCGTTTCGTTGGAATTATGGCTACACTTATTCAAAGCGCATTCGTCAAGATCATTGCACGTGACTTTATCTGACGCGATGACATATCCAGACCTGCATCCGCATTGAAATCCAACGTCTTTGTCTGTACAGGTTTGTGAGCAATTTGGAGGGATATTGTTACACTCATTTTGTAAATCTAATCTGCAAAGAAAACGATTTTTGGATGTACAATCGTTATCAGCCAGACCTGCTGACCAGAGAAGCAGTGCTGGCAACAAAGTCATCGTAACGCAACACTGCTTCCCATCGTGATACTCACGACAGCTGTTATCTGGCTTACCTGAAGCCCACACATTTTCCTGGACCTCTTCGTATCTCCAAGACATTGCATAATCATCGATGCTGGAAGGGGACTGTTTGGCATCCAGAGAAATCCACACAGGGATGCGACCCAAGAGTCCAGCATAGCCGGAAAGAGACTTCAGCGTCTTCTGGTAGTCTGTGTTGTTGTCAAAGGTTGCTATTGTAGCCGAAAGTTGAGAATTACATAAGACTGAAGCTGCCTGGATGTCTTTGGCTTCCTCGGAGAGGAAGAAGATTCGACCATCGACAGTTAAGTTGTGAAACAGACTGCCAGCCCTTGCCAAATGTAGTTCTGTTAATGTGATATAAAGAAAGTTTTACTTGTTGACATGAAGGGTAAACATGTATGTATGTTGTTGAACCACAAAAGGGCTGTACAACGAGCAACCAAAACCCCTGACACGAAGTGCCACCATTGAGGTGAAGATCATCTGGGTACAAGTCCCAGAAACCTCATTCAACCGTTAGCTTACATTAGGGCCCCTACTACAGCGGGGTTGGGCTTTCAAATAACGAAATTGTGCGTCTCATACTGGGACGGGGGGTTTATGTAATAATGTAGGTATAACTTATGTTCTTGTTCACATCGTATAACAAATTAAAACAACATGTTTTGAACAATAATGTCTTCGCGAAGTGAATTTTAACATTGCAGAGACAAACAATACATTGCACAATTTCACAATTATTTCATAAGACGCATTTGACTGACTGACTGACTTTCTACATTGCATGACCTTTAAAAGGTTACTGGGTAGCCTTATGTTCAGTAGTTTGGCATAGCTCACCAGACGGTACGACGCTTTTTTTTTTTTTTTTTTCAAACATACAATATCATCTGCTACCACATCGTTTGCAACTAAGTTAAAACCAGTTTATGTCAGGATTATGAATCTACGTGCACAACGTCTAAGCCACTGAGATATGGTACGTTTAATATATTTAGTTGCGTATCCTTTACATGACGTTATAGAACCAATCCCAACATGTGTTTGCTGTTGTGGTTTTTCTAGGCAGATTTAACGATCAGTAGTTTGCCATTGATTTCTCTACGACCAGCTCTCGGTATCACTGTCGAAACTAATTCAAGGCTGGGATCGGCACATCGGAATTGCGAAGCGCGTTCGCAACGCCTAAGCCACAGACGCCGACGTTTTATTATATGTATATATATATATAATTTTTTAATATATTAATATATATAATAATATATGTAGGTGAAGACAGGGATGCTTTGGGAAAGCTTAACTGGAAAGGTCACGGGTAGTGAGCATAACTAGATCTTTGCTCCAGGCCATGCCGGCGTGGTGAGTATTGAACAGTAGGACAGATTGGCTGAATCTGCACCACTGGGGGTGGGGGTGGGGGGGGGATTGATACATGACAAGGCAGATGATGTGAAGGCCCTTTTGGAACAAGCAACCGAATCCGTGGCTAAGGCTTTGCGAGTCCGACTCGTAAGCCAGCATACCGCGATCGAAACCCACTGCAGGCTGCGTGGATTTTTGCCGTGGTATGGGACGTCGCAGGTCGACCCAGCCTAAAATGGGTACCAGGATGGGCTGTCCTGGGAAAGTAAAGACAGCTGGCGTAATGCTGACCACATTACCCACATAGTGCTGATGGCCTGTAAAAATATAGGACGCTCTGCCCATATGCCTGATGCTCCGAAAGGTGTGAAAAGGGATCTAAACCGAATCAGTAGAGAAAGAAGGTTATTATGGCCTAGACAGAATGCAGCACCTGGGTGTAACCAGAGGGTCTGGCCGGCTTACTACACTCAGAGGAAAGGCAAGATGGATGTATAACCAAATTGTACCGGTAATATCACTATTGGAACTCTGCGCTGGCTGCTGAAGATGCGGAGGGAGCATGCCCCGAGTGCTGTGATGTCAATTCTCGACTCAACTCAACTTATTACTATATCTCAGCAATGACATTTGTCATCAGGTTTTTCCTGTAGCTTAGAACGTTTGAAAAAGAATAAATAGAACCGACACCAGGGGACTATTGGTAGGAAGCTCAAGTCACCGTCCTCACCTCACACAGAAGCAGGAGTTTAGGTTCAAGGTGATTTCATTCATAGTTTAAGAGCATAATAATAATACGTTTGTTTGTTTTGTTTTTTATACAACGGATCAACATCATGACACAAAGGTGGTGACAAATAATTGATCCGTTCTACTTCTAACTTCAAGTCTGATTCCAAAGAAAGTCAGCGCAGTGCACGAACTCCGTAGCAACCGCGAGGGTCCTAAAATACTATTGGATTTTTTTTTTTTTTTGCGCAACAATACACCCGGACGTCCGATCTCACTACCCAGAGACCAGGGGAAATTACCAGAAGTCCGCGTGAAAAAAATCTCATCCTTCACAAGGGCCTGTAACCGGAACCTCCAGCATGAGGGGTCTGGGGAGACTAACGACGAACTAACCGTATAAACAATCCTGTTAAAGAGAATTCAAATGGACAAAGGCGGCTGCTTATCGTACCCTCCCCACCCCCTTCCTTTTTTCCCCAAACAAACCTATACTTACAAAATGTTTATGGCCTCATAACCGCCATTCCACCAAAAAAATTTTTTTTTGGGGGGGGGGGGGGGGGGGGGGGTTCCACCGAAGACCCTGAACCTTCAGATTCCGGTGTCTATACTAACCATTCAAACAATCAACAGATTCCGGTGTCTATACTACCCATTCAAACAATCAACAGATTCCGGTGTCTATACTACCCATTCAAACAATCAACAGATTCCGGTGTCTATACTACCATTCAAAAACAATCAACAGAACCGGTGTCTATACTAACCATTCAAACAATCAAAGATTCCGGTGTTTTATACTAACCATTCAAACAATCAACAGAGGGGGGTGTCCACCGACTACCCTCAATTAATCAACAGATTCCGGTGTCTATACTAACCATTCAAACAATCAACAGATTCCGGTGTCTATACTAACCATTGAAACAATCAACAGATTCCGGTGTCTATACTACCCATTCAAACAATCAACAGATTCCGGTGTCTATACTAACCATTCAAACAATCAACAGATTCTGGTGTCTATACTAACCATTCAAACAATCAACAGATTCCGGTGTCTATACTAACCATTCAAACAATCAACAGATTCCGGTGTCTATACTAGCCATTCAAACAATCAACAGATTCCGGTGTCTATACTAACCATTCAAACAATCAACAGATTCCGGTGTTTATACTAACCATTCAAACAATCAACAGATTCCGGTGTCTATACTAACCATTCAAACAATCAACAGATTCTGGTGTCTATACTAACCATTCAAACAATCAACAGATTCCGGTGTCTATACTAACCATTCAAACAATCAACACAGATGTATACTCACGCATGAGCAGCAGTGTCAACACAACAGCCAGATGTCCTTTCATGTCATTGATAATTCTGTGGCTGACCATAGCAAATTTTTGTAACTGTATGAATAAAGAAAATCATAATACACACAAATGAAGAAATCTTGATTTTCACAAACAATAGATAGACAGTTACATCATTTTCAGCGGTTCTCTCAAACTTTTTTTTTTCGGATTGAACGACCCTTTCACACGCTTCGCCTAAGACCGTGGAAAAACACATATTCTTTGAAGATATGAAGGAAGATAATTGTTTGCTGGTCGTCACAATTATAGGTAAACGTATTATAGGGTCGTGGCATTAGCAACGTTGAGAGCCCCTGTTCTGTTCTGTTCAGTGTCTATGGCTGCATTGTTAATTTCTGCTTCTTCTTTATCTTCTTTTGTCTCACTGATACTAGGTTGTAGCCCAGTCTCATCGTTTCTGTATTCGTCGTGCCCTTCTCAGGTGCCTTGGTGGTTATTTGTTAATCTTTTTACAGGTTTAAGCTACACGATTTATCCATCTCTTTCGTGTTCTTCCTCTCGCCTTCCTCTTAGATGTTCTGTAAAAAAAAAAAAAAACTCTCATATGCACTTTGATCTGGCTGCAATCTCAATAGATGGCCGAACTATTTCATTCTTTATTTGTCAGTTTAATCCAGACATGGTCACTACCCAGAGACCAGGTTGAATTACTAGAAGTCCAGTTCCACGTGAAAAAATCCCAACCCTTACCCGAATTGAACCCGAAACCTCTAGCACGCGAGGCGGACAATATGCCTCAAGACCACGCAGCCCTCTGCACCGCTGAAGAAAACCTATCAACACAGGTAGAGTAATGCTTATAAAGGCGCTGGTGATGTGTTTATTTGTTCTATGTATGGAGACTTATCAGACACTGTATTTGTATCACAATCGCATCATTGTTTGGACTTTTTTCTAAGTAACAAGACCTGGCTAATATACGTACAGTAGTTTGCCGTTGCTTTCTAAAAGGTTGGCTTTCGATACAACGGTCGAAACCAACGCAAGGCGGTCTGCTCTCAAAAAAGCCTGCAGACGGGTTCGAACGCAGCATCACGGCACTCATGCAACGCCTATATATTGTAGCCTTATTGAAAAACATAAGACTCTTTCAATACAATAGTCGAGGGAAATGTCGAGGGTGAGAGAGCAACGATACAAGTGGGAAATGTCGAGGGCGAGAGAGCAAGAGACAACGATACAAGTGGGAAATGTCGAGGGTGAGAGAGCAAGAGACAACGATACAAGTGGGAAATGTCGAGGGTGAAAGAGCAAGAGACAACGATACAAGTGGGAAATGTCGAGGGTGAGAGAGCAAGAGACAACGATACAAGTGGGAAATGTCGAGGGTGAAAGAGCAAGAGACAACGATACAAGTGGGAAATGTTGAGGGTGAGAGAGCAAGAGACAACGATACAAGTGGGAAATGTCGAGGGCGAGAGAGCAAGAGACAACGATACAAGTGGGAAATGTTGAGGGTGAGAGAGCAAGAGACAACGATACAAGTGGGAAATGTT